AGTGGAGGCAGAAGTATAATCTTATAATAAATAGTCTTAAAAGTAGTCAATGGGGACATGCTTCCTAGTATGAAGGAATAAGTCACTTGAGTTTCTTCATTTTATATCACGTTTTCCTATTACGCAGTTTTCTTCAAGGTCCGAAGTACCTACCTTTTTTCCATTTTTAAAAAACTGGAAGGTTGGCATGCATTTGACTTCACACTCTGAAGCAACATCCTATGGGGGGAGGTGATAGCGGGAGAGAAGATAAAAACAAGACTGAGTATTGAGCTTTGACAGAAGGAATTCAAAATCCAAAAAAGGATTCTTCTGTTATATAACGCCACATCTCTGTACTAGGACTTTATTTTAACAAATAAAAATCGACACTGAATATAATGGTAGCACAGAGGCCAAAATAGTTATATTATCAATTAAAATTCTCACTAATACGTACTCTGATTTCTGAGGTACACCAAGAGCAGAATGCTACCATTATCTGATACTACACAGTCATTCAATAAGCTCTTTAGTCCAATTTTATCTTGGCTATTTCAGGTATCATAGAGAAACAAAAATAAATTCTGCAATTATATTCAAGATTATAAACCCAGCTATTCTTCAGAATTAGTACCTCTCATCTTTGCTCATAGTTTTTCCAGTTTGATGATGGGAGTGAGGTATAGAGATGATTATCATAAAGGCTAAAGTCCAAGGTCAGCAAGAGGAACAATTTAATTGCAAAAGAACTATTCAAGAACAAAGTCATAGTAATCTAAAAGGGCACATTGATTTTTCTGTTTATTTTTAAATAGAAGTTCACTTGTATATTCCCAAACCTGGCTGCACTGTCAGAGCCACCTGAAGGGCGCTACAAGGTTCCCCAAGACAACTCTGTCCCCCTACCCCCAATAAATCAGCGTTAAGTTGAGCCCTAGGTGACAATAACGCTCTGACCTTTGCGAGCTGCCCAGCTTAGAGAAAAATGGACAAACTCCTAACATTGCAAAGTGGGCTAGGCGGTGCATATATTCTCTTCTAGATGTGGCTCTTATCTAAGGAGCTTTCTGCAGCTCTAAGGTCACTGAAGTATCAAGTATTCTTTGATTTTGATAAAGAAACACAAAGTGAGAACTTTTACCTCCCCACTCTCCATACCTTCTTCACACAGGGTTTGGAGGGAAAAGCCATGAAAACGGTTGGGTTTGGACAAGTGTTTCAAGTGAAGACGTCCATGTAGGGATTGACAATGCCACCTTGGCACTGAAATGAGGGTCATGGAAGAAATGGAGAACCTCATGGCCCCTAAGCAGCAAAAACTGAAGGACAACCATTGAGGAGGCAGAGTCCCCAGAGCCAGAGCAAGGAAGCCAAAGCACTTTCAAGCTACACAGCTACAACACAGCGACAAACACTGTGACGACTTCTAGTTTGGGGGCTGAAGAATTAAAAACGGAGCAGTCTCTGTGATGAGCCACCAACAGATAGTACCTGCTGGCCTAGCTTCACCTCCTCTGAGCCTGGGAATGGTGGCTGTACATCTTGATGGAGTTGCATGTGTATTGTTCCTAGCTTGAAGAAAACCGGATAACCTTTACTTTTTCCTTAAGTGCTGGCAAAAAGAGGCACAGGGACAGTAATGGCTGGAATAAAAATGGCCAGTATGTACTAAATGCCTCCTATGTTCCAGAAAACTTGGCTCCCAGTCACTGGAAGCGACTGAGTCTAGTCAATGTTTTCAGATTCTGGACACCTTAGACCTCACCTAGCCAGAGATCAGCATTCCTTTGTCGGCACAGCTGTTTAACTTACAGTAAAACAAATCATTAAAAAGTTAAAACAAAACAAAACAAAAAAACTCAGAGAAGGGGTGTCAACGCTAGGTACATTGTTATTTAAACTGTGTTCATATACTTTATTTTTTAAACTCCTGCCATGTCTTTACATGGTAAAATTTTTAAGCATTAAGAATTTTCTTTCATTAGATGTGAAAGTGATTTTGTGAAAGGTGACACAGGTCCATTCCATAATTTAATCAACCACAGTGGGCTTTTAGGTTATTTCCAATTTATGTACATCCTTGTGAATAAATTCTCAGACACATTCCTGGGCAAAAACCTTGAAGTGGAACTGCTGGATTTAAGATCATTTTCACTTTTAAATAACATCAGCAACTTTACATTCTATGCAGACAAAGTGGAAGAGGGAAGCCATTTATATTCTCTCCTAGCTACTGTCAATATTTTATTCATGCACCTAAATACATACAGTTGACCCTGGAACAACACAGGTTTGAACTGTGTAGGTCCACTCATACACAGATTTTTAAATACAGTATTTGAAATGTATTATCTTTTCCTTATGAACACTTTCTTTTCTCTAGCTTATTTTATTGCAAGAATACAGTATATAATATACATAACATATAAAATGTGTGTTAATCAACTGTTCTCAGTAAGGCTCGTGGTCAAGAGTAGGCTATTAGTAGTTAAGTTTTGGGGGAATCAGAATATACACACAGATTTTCAACTGCATGGGGAGTCAGTGCCTCTAACCCCCAAATTGTTCAAGGGTTAATTGTACTTTATAAAATCCATGCTATATATTGTTACTGGGTATAATATAGGCAGGATAAACTTTCCCCCGTGAAAATGTATATAATCATTTTTTATGGTCCCATAGCAGTCACCATATTAATGCATCGTCATCTAAACTAATCCACTGGTCAAGATGTAAAGGACTTTGATTCTGCCTAATGTAAATTATTTAATCTTCATATACAAATATCTCTACACTCTGGTTCAATCCCCACCCCCATAAATAGAATTGCTAAGAGAAAGAACATGCTCATTTTAAAGGCCCTAGATACATACTATTCAACTACCTTCCAAGGAGTTTGTGTCAATGTATCAGTATCATGATTTTTGCCATCCAGTTTAAGACTGCATACAATCAAATCCATGAGCCCTTCCCTACTCCATTCACTAAAAACACGGGCTCTATTGATTTAGCATCAAACAGACTTCGGTTCTGTGAAAGAACTTGCCCAGGCCTATTTCCTCAATGGTAAAAGTGAGTAACAGTTACGTTCTTAAGACTACAATAGACAGGGTGGTTAATGTGCTTGACAGTGTCTACCACCTCTATGTGTTCAGTATTCTCTAGGATTTTTGTTTAATTTTTTTCTAGATTTTACTGGGGAATAAAGAACGAGGTAGAGATACGTCTTAACCCCAAATGGTTAATCACTCACTATTATTGGTTAAACAGACTTGGTTCTATTTTTTTGGACTTTCTATTCCATGGATCTACATTACATACGCCGGCTACAAAAACACAGTTTTAATTAGTGTAGCTAATATATTTTATTTTTATGGATCTTGTCCTTTCCCATCCTCTACATCTTCTCTCCCAATTATTTTTTAAAAATACTTTGCAGGATTTTCCTGAGTACATTATTTCAGAATATCATGATCAATTTCCCCAAAATGTCAGATTGAGTTAAAGTTAGATAAATTTGGGGGTACTGTCATTTTAATAACACTAAGTTGACATCCAGCAATACACCTATTAAAATCTTCTATGGCCCTGAAAATTTAGTAGTTTCCATAACTAATATTTAATCTTTGCTGTCTGAAGTTAATATTTTACTTTTGTTTTCTACTTCTTGTTCTTATCATGATCATTTCCCCAAAATGTCAGATTGGTTAAAGTTAGATAAATTTGGGGGTACTGTCATTTTAAATAACACTAAGTTGACATCCAGCAAAAACCCATTAAAATCTTCTATGGCCCTGAAAATTTAGTAGTTTCCATAACTAATATTTAATCTTTGCTGTCTGAAGTTAATATTTTACTTTTGTTTTCTACTTCTTGTTCTATGGACTAGTTTGCCTATTTCTGTAGTGATTTGAAAGATATGCATAGTTAAAAATTACCTTTGAGGTTTTAAAAACATTCTTATCACTTCCCTCAGAAACAGAAAGCTAGCCCAATAACACCCCTACTTCCTGTTTTTTGGTAAGCAATCTGGAATTGTAAACTGACATGTAGCAAAATTCACTCTTTAGGGAGTGTACAAACTCTGAATTTTGACAAATGCAGTCATATAAAAATCACCAAAATCAGGATACAAAACAATTCCCTCACTCCCCTAAAGTTTCTTTTAGCAGTTCCTTTGAAGTCAACTACCTCCTCCAACCCCAAGCCCTAATATGTTCTCGATCCCTACAGTTTTGCCCAATCTCAGATTTTTACTAGTAAATGTAACAAGATTACATTTTTACCTTATTAATTGTATTGGTTTCTGTAACGTCTATTAACTCATTCCTGGCTCTTCTAATCAAAATAGAAACACATGGTATCATTCTAAAAGGCTGTAAAACTATTAGGTCTAAATTACTTTGTTTCTTATTTTAATTACAAAAGTATCATACCCTGCAAAGAGTTGAGAGTAGTAATCTGTTAAAAAGAAATAAGATCAGTCTATCATTTCCAAAAGAGTTAGTACTCATACTTTTCTATGAATACCAAATTATTTTCTTTGTGAACCACTTATGTGTCCATGCCTCCTACTTGTCTATTGGAATCTATTACAACTAAAAGATAATTTTTTCCTATCAAGTGTTTATAGCTCCCTCTATTGAAACTGTATGTTGCTTGCCCCAAAGACATTATAAAAGACTCTGGGTCTGAAGTTCATGGTCAGGACTTATCTGCATAAAAAATTTAAAAAATAATTCAGCCCTTAAACAGTCCATCTAGTTAATGATCTAATTTTCAGAAATGACATCGATGTAATTTTTATACCTTATCTGTGTTCTTTTAGAGTTGAAACGAGGCATTGGTTTTACCTAACATTCCAAAGTAAAACGAAGATCCACACATGTAATTTACGAATTCCACAGGGGAAAAATAACCCACTGCTTGTTTAACGAACTGCCTTTTGTTTGAATCGCCTGCCTTGCTAATTCTACTGAACGACCCGGTGAGTAGGAGCTAACAGATTGCTGCTATGTGTATGTGCTGTCCAAAGGGTTGCAGGATTAGCTCAATTTTTAACTCTGCAACAGACCCATAAAGCTATTTAGACGGTTGTAATAGTCATTAAAGGTATTCCAAGAAAAAGATACCACATGTTGCTTAATCTTTAGGAAGTGAAAGGTCCCAGTTTGTGAGAGGGTCACTTCAAGCTGTGGAAACTTTCAGGGTGATTATGAGTACGCCAACCAGATATGAAGAAACAGCTCTGGCATACGGGAGTCCTTGACTGCTCTGTATATCTACTTCCCAAAGGTTTGAACAGAGGCAATAAGAGCATCTGTCCTCGGTCCAGCACGGTCCACCGGCTCTGCCTTGTCTGACCTGCTTCTCCTTCTGTGCTACACTACAGTCTGATTGTCTGTTCAGTGAGGGTGCTAAGAAACTTCTCATAGTTACCGTGAGGATTAAATGACATAAGGCACGCAGAGAGCCTACCACAGCACCTAGCACAGGGCATGGCTTTCAAATAAAAATGCATCCAGTTGCTGTGCGACAGAGTCAGCACTAGGAAATTTCTCTACTTCCTCCCAGGTGCCATTTTCACCTGGTTAAGGTGACCACAGAAAAGATAAAATGGTGAGACTTAGGTTAAAACAGGGAGCAAGGTTTTTCTCACAAACACGTGCTATTTATTCTCGGTTCTTTTTTCCTAAAACTCTGGGATGCATCAGCCCAATAACTTAACAACCATACAACATCCATTCTGCATCTACAGCATGCTAGGCAGGTGAGCTTGGTGAAGAAACAAGATGAATAAGAGGGTCCCTGACTCCAAGGAACTGATGGTAAAGGACAAAGAGGTCATTAAAATAATAGCTAAGATTCAATGAGTACTTAACATGTGCCAGGCACGGTTCTAAGCACTTAGTAGGATTACCACATTTAACCTTGACTACCCTGTGATGTTGGATTAACACTGCCATTTTGCAAAGATCAAACCGAGGCACAGGAAAGATTAAAAAAAACTTACCCATGCCTGAAGAGCTGATGAGGAACAGAGCTCAGAAATAAAGCAAGCAGCCTAGAAGCAGGACCCCCGCCCCCCACTACTATACATACAAGAGGAAAAGAGAGGCAGAGGACGTCATGGGGACACAGGAAGGGAAACTAAACTAGTTTGGGGGTATAAACTGGAGAAGAGTTCCTAGAGAAGAGGTGAGGCTTATGCCATGGAGTTTGTCAGATAGGAAAGGAAAAGATGGGCCAGGTCAAGAAGATAGTACGGGCAAAGGCACAAATGTGGAATCAGAAAGTACCAGCTTTTATTGCCCCTTTCGTCTTTTTATCAATAGTCTGTGTTTGCTCAATGAATAAGCAAACTTGACAGGTTAATAAGGCACATATTAAGATCTGATCACAGAGGAAAAACAAAGCTCAACGAAGAAGAGAGAGTAATCTAGAGCAGAAGTCATTGTGCCAGTTCTGGAACCGAGGTCTAGCACCTTCATTGCCACATCATACCCTAAACCCCTCCTGCCCCACTGGGGCTAAGAAAAAAGGCCCACCTATCTGTAAAGAGCCCCCAGGTGATACATCTCGGCAGGCTCTCCTACTTCAGCGGGCTGTGTGAGAGGCGAGGTCATGTGCTGGGAACCTGGTCTGCACCTACCACACGACAGAACTTCCTCTAAACTGTGGTGGTGACAGCAAGGGCTGGGAAGCCAAATGACCCCATCTTAAATCTTCGCTCTGCCACTGTACCTCCAAAAATAACCTCTCTGTGTTTTTCTCATCTGTAAATGCGGATGATGAGAACACCAAGGTTTAAATGAATCAATACTTGCAAACCACAGAGAACAGTGCCTCGCACAAAAAGTGAACAGGCATTTGTTAATTAAACCAACCTGGAACTTCCCCCCTAATTATCCTCTCAGCTCTCTACTAGGCACCTTGGTGTTTGTTCTTTAAACCATTTGGGTTTTCCTAATTGATGTAAATCAACCAATACTAGAATAAGTTTGCGAATATACTTTCTCATGCAGTTAGTTCACGAAGAACTTTAAAGATGGTCTCCCGATTTGGTGATACCATCCACTCTCTGGCTTTAGCTGTCATGGTCAAATTCAGTTTCTATGTATGGAGCACCTCAATGTTCGGTAGAATGTGCAGGCTTTTAGAAAGATAAGCAACTGGTAAGTAAGGTACAGAAGTCTCAACCATCTATTTTTCTGCTTATTTTACGATGTGATATATACATAGTTCCTGATATATAGGGTTATGTTCGTGATTGTCACAATTACCTGTTCTTCCAGAACAAAACTTTTTAGTTAGGTCTGTAGTTCTAGTATTATTTGACATATTTATGAAACAATTACTTGCAACTCAGAGAAAAAAGTCTGTGAAAAGTTCAGTAGTTTTCCAAATTTCCAGCCACATACCTGACAGTCATCCACATCTACTTCAAGGAACACCACGTTGGAATACTTTTCAGAGAGGGACTGGAAAATTTAAAATGAAAAATACACAAAGATTTAGAACTCGGTAATGGCAATCGATATACTCAACCTTCTTAAATGGAAACTTAATGAATGGAAATTAATTAAAGATCCAAAAAATTTAGGGAGTAGTTAAGCATAAAGGATGTACATTTTATTTGAATCATATTCTTCCTAGTATGAAATGATTTGGTACACTGACTCCTGAAGATTGCATTTCAAATAGGGCAGGGCCCACGTTTCAACTTAAAGAAAAGCAAAAACATGTAAGACAACAAAATTAGCTTCTGAAAGTTGTCTTCAATGGGTTACAGGTGTCGAAGCTCAAGTGTTACACTATTCCTTTCAGACCAAAGATCCAACATCAAGAAAAAAACCCAAACCCTTTAACTGTCCTTCTTTCTTGGCTTTGTGACCACCCAAATAACAAATTCCTTACAAAGCAGATGTTGTTTAATACTCACATGAAAGAAAGGCTTGATCATTTTGCAAGGCCCACACCATGTGGCTGAGAAGTCAACTACAACGAGTTTACTTCCTGCACTGGTCAAGGCTTCCTCAAAAGCATCCTAAGATGAGAAAAAGGCATACGTGTTAAAAAGCCCCGATAAAACCCAATAAAGCACAATTCGAAGGTCCTGCTTTCAGGGCCTATGTTTTAATAAACAAACAAACAAACAAAAAAACCCCAAACTACAAAAAAGCCCTACAGTGTTGTTTTTAGTATTAGATAAGATGAAACAAGTATGTGTACAGTATATCAATATTCATGTCTTCATGAATATTTTATACAATTATAAAATATTAATTGGTTAATCTATATCCACACTAAGCTTAAGAAAGAAAGAAAAAGACATTTGTATTAAAAAGTTTCCACTTCAAATCTAAGTATATCGTAGATGTTCACTAAATGCTTATCAATTGACAAGGGGTTACTTGAAGACACAAGGGCACAGTTTTGCTGCTAACTATACCACTACCGGTTAAGAAAAAAAAGCTAACACTTTTTGATTAAATTAATATTTTCTATGGTGGAACAATCCGAAAGCTCATATCAAGGAAAATAACACCCTCCAAATCCCTACCCTCAATCTCTGGTTGACATTAAGCATATTTCCTTGTGTTCTTTTTTTTAATTTATGGTGACATTGGTTAACAAAATCTAGTAAGCTTCAGGTGTACGATTTAACAGTAAAGCATACATATATCCTTATATTCTTTCTAATGGAGTTTCCAGAGTTGAGATTGTACGGTTGATAGTTAATTTCTGTCCTTTATCTCAAAACCTGTCCTCACTGTTGACCAAATGAAAGAGTTTTAGTTCCTCACAAGGAATGCATGTTAAATAAAGTTCCACCAGCAGAAATGTTCAAGAAATCCCTTACCACCAACCTCCTTGAAAAAATTTACCAGTGGTTTTGATACTGTAACCCTAGGAACCTAACCTCATTTTAACCACAATTAGTCAGTGATGGCTGACCAAAACCCGGGCAATGAAGAGAAATCAAAACACAAACATTTATAACTGAAGTCTAGGTTTTCTTCAAGGGAAAAATGCTGGTCACATTGGCTTAATTAAAAACTAACGTTCCCCTCCTTTGAAAGCTAAGAATCATATCAGATCTGGTCAAATAAAAAAGGAAAGTAAATAATGCACCACTAAAATCTAAAGTGAATGCTTCTGAAGTTCAGTTGCTTCTCTAGATTTCTAATTTCTACTTCATATTTTTTTTTTTAGGGAAAAAATTCATAAATGGTGTTTTGAGAATGGCACATCATGACTTCTGTAACATTTTGAGTTATGCCAGTACAAACTCCCACCCTACCTTCGGGTGTGGGGGACAGAGTTAAGATAGAAGTACAGAAGTTATATTTCCAAATCATCACCGAGTCTTCCAGATGAATTTCATTCAAAGCCTTTCCTAAGGTAATTTTTAGAAGGTCAAACAGTCATTCTATACACGCAAGATCCAGGTAAGACAGGAATAAAGTCAAGGAATGACACTATCTGCTCAGATAAATACAGCTGACAAAGGTTTGAACTATACGGGTCCACCTACATGCATTTTTTCCCCAATAAATGTGTACAGTACTGCAAATGATTTCCTAAATATTTTCTTTTCTCTAGCTTACTTTATTGTAAGAATATGGTATATAACATACAAAATATGTGTTAATTGACTGTTTGTTATTGGTAAGATTACCGGTAAACAGCAGGCTATTAGGTAAAGTTTTGGGGAGTTAAAAGTTCTATGTGGATTTTTGACTGTGTGGGGGTCAGTGTCCCTAACCCCTGGTGTTGTTCAAGGGTCAACTGTACGTTGTTTTGTGAACATGGTTAGCCCTCCGTAAATACTTGGTAGGATTACTTTCAACGTTGACTGTATTTCAAACACTCTAAAGGAATTCCCAAAACAATTCTGAATCTAATTCAAGCAAAACCACCTAAAGTTCTGAAAAGAAAAAAACGGTACCCAACAATAACTTTTGGCTTAACTGAACGCGAGTTACAGAACTAGGTATGTATAGATTTCACAAATTCTCTTCTCTTGATACTAAGTTTGCTTAAAACATACATAAGTTTGAAAATGAGTCAAGATTATCTTACTAAGAAGCAAACCACAATTTCTAGCTCCCAGAAACTAACAATTGAAGTTTAATAAAGGCCCCCATTAATGACACAAATATTTTGAAAACAAAGTGATGTAGTTGGGGTAGATAACAGCAGAATCTAGTATCTCTTTTCCTAAACATACCCATTCCAAAGGTAATTAATAAGCATAGGAGTGGTCTGTAAAGTACTTAGCAAAGTGCTTGTGTGTAGAAGATAGGAGTTTAATAAATGGCGGCTGCTATTAAAAAACAAACAAAATATGTGTCTGATTTCTTCCTCATCACATTATCCCAATTGCATCTGAAATAGATCCCAGTGGCTCCAAACTACCAGCACTTGAGTTGTCTTGGATGGGCAATGGCACCAAATTTAGTCTATCAGGACAAAATTCTAAAGTGTATTCGATATTTATTTACAAGTAACATTCAAATTAGTTTAACGTTTGATTAATGACTCTGGATTACAATTTTGAAGATCCACTGATTATCAGGGTCCTTGGGCCCCAGGCTGTAGTGCTTTTTTGAGGAACAAATTTCCCATCGCTCTTATACATCTTCTCATTGATGAGGAGACGGTGCCATAACTATGATAATGAAAATAGGGAGACTGAAAGGTATGCTGCAAAAATTAATCAGTTTTCTGTTTGCAGCGTATGAATTCTGAGACAATTCAGATCCCTCAAAGGTCTTCTTACTCCTTTAATGAGTTCTCAACTGTTTCACCTTTTAGGCTATACTGAGGAGGTCGATAGACCCTGGAAAACCTCTCCTGCCACCCATAAACTGTGTCACTCAGCAGGTATCAGAAAAAAGTACATGGAACAAAACTTAATATTAAGGATCTCTCTTTTCAACAAATGAGAGGGTTGATAATTTTAATATAAAAGCTCACAATTTAAAAAATATCCCAATAGGAAAAAATTCATAAGGACAAGCAGATAACAGGCTACAATTTGCCAATCAATACATGTAGGAGAAAAAAGGTTCAAAGTCACTAATAGTTGAAAGTATTCAAATGAGAATGAGAATTTTTCTTACTAATAAGTTGGCCAAAGTTATGGGGCGGGGTGGGGAAGTCAGCATTAAAGGGCAAGGAGCACTCTCATAAGCTTCTTGGGGCATCTACAAACCGTGAAAGGTTTACATCCCAATCACACTGCCCTCCAGACCCTAACGTGAGGAAACATCCTGAACTCTGTACAAAGCGTTCTGAATAAACTATTCACTGAGGAGACTGCCTAAATGCCCAGCAATGAGTTCAGATAACTGACATGATTACAGACTAATTACATGTAAAGTGTTCAGGCTAAATTAGGGGAGAAAAAAAGGCTCAGAAACAAAACAATATGTATGAAATAATATCAACCACTTGGTGGTCGCTTCTAGGAAATATAAGCTCTCTTCCCAAAATTTCTACAATGATCATACATGTTCTGATTATAAAAGTAAAACAATAAGGGACCATGACAGAGAAACTTCCGTTGCTGAAGCGTGCCCCAGCATCTAACAGGTCCCGCCACTCAAGGCAGGTGAGGAACCACCTTTCCCCTGCTTTACTGGGGGTGGGAGTATCGCAGGGTAAATAAAAGCTTTCGAAGGGTCTCCCACTGTTTGAGCATCAGTTTTCTTCCACTCATTTTTCTAGTTCTGCATTTAACATTTCTTGAGTGGCTACCGTATACTGGACACTATATTAGGCTGAGTTTTCGGAGCAGTATATTAGGCTCGCAATAACTCTCAAATGTGGAACACTTTTTGCCTTGCGCATTCCTAAAAGGACAGAACCACTATCTGGGTACCCGAAGCCCGACGAGCACACAGTAGTGCGTGGCTGCTCCCAGGGGCACTCCTGGCTTCAGTGAGACCCACCAAGAGTGGGTGAATCACAGAAGGGTAGGGCAGCAGAGGCCCCCAGGCCCTGCGCTGGGGACTGAGTCATTCCAAAGCCAGAGCTGCCGGAAACACGCCCAGCGCGGCAGGAGGAGGAGTCCCCAGGGCGCCACCCGAACTGCACTTCCTTGTGGCCACCTGGGCCCCTCTGGACACGGGGCCGCACTGGTACACACCAGGGGATGGGGTGGGGGGTCTCTGGCCCGGAGCCGCACCCTTTTCGACGATACAACACGCGTCATCTCTGGGGCCCCGCAGTGATGGAGGCGGCCGGGGGTCTCCGGCCTAGACCCGCTCTTAGAAAGCCCACCCAAGCCAGCGCGGGTGTATCACGCCGATTACTGGGAAGAGAGTGGCGGCCAGCAACCCCGTGCTTTCTCCAAGGGGCCCTCCATCTCCTTGCTCAGGTTCGTATCTGGATACAGATGGGGGCCAAAGACAGCCTCCCTGCATCCCTTCACCAACCGAGGTTTTCCACACTGGAGATGCAGGAGGCGCAGTAAGGGGGCGCCCAGACACTCCACGCGCACGGGCATCATCCCGGCGCTCTGGACACCCGACTCCACCCTCCAGGGGACCTCGCCCTTCTCCCTTCCTCCAGGGCATGCCCCGGCGCCTCGGGTGCGCCCGTACCCGGCTGTCTCGCAGTCCTAGGCCGAGTCACCGCGTCGCCTTCCCCCAGGGATGCGGAGGGGCGGCCTGCCCACCACCGGCCCATCGCCTCCCCCAGTCTCCGAGGCTGCGCGCGCGTCCTGGCCTTCCCCGGGAGCGCATACCTTGCTGTCGATCTGCTTCACCATGTTGGCGGCTGAGGTCTGACCAGTGACCGTAAGAAACGATGAACGCGGATGCAAAGCGATGTACGCGCTGGGAGAGCTCGCAGCCCGCCTTCCCTTTATAGTGACGGGGGAGTGGGCGGGCGCGCCCGGCGTGCGTGCGGCGGGGGCGCGCTCG